CGAAGAGGTGTGTTTTGGTCTCAGCAGTGAGTTCACCTATGCTTTTTAATGTTCACGGCCATTAAATCAGGCCGTGAACTGGTCACGATCTCAATTAAAAGGCAACTGAAAGGAAGAAAAAAGGAGAGAGACCTAGTATGAGAAAAACTTCTCCTTCTTCAGATTTTAGAGTGAGAAATTGACTAACCAAAGAAGAGGAAAAGCTAGGGTTTCATCTCCAAGCATGGATTTGGGTTTCTTCAGCAAAAGGAGCAAGGCTTGCATCTTCTTGATGGTTTTCCTTTCCCTCTCTTTTGTTTTCCCTTCTCCTAGCATGGAGTAGTTCCTTCTTTCACTTTGGTGTTTGTAAACCCTAGCTACAATTATGTAAATACTTGTATGAATTGAATGATTTGTGTGTGGTTGTGTTTTAATGTGAATGGGGAGGTATTACTCAGAAATGATTGTGTTATATGAAAGCCTATCAATCTAATTGTCATTCTAACCTAGCTTAGAGAGGAGACCTTCTTAGGTAAAGAGGCTCCATTGGAGATGGGCGTTCTTGGGCATTTCATGCCTCCTAGGCTAGTTTAGAGAGGAAACCTCCTTTACCCAAAGAGGCTCAATTTGAGGTTGGTTTCTTGGGCATTCAATGCCTCCTAAGCTAGTTTAGAGAGAACCCTCCTTAACCTAAGAGGCTCATTAGAGATGGGTTTCCTTGGGCATCTTATGCCTCCTATTCTAGGTTAGCTATGGGCAAACCTCCTATTTCGTATTAGCATTTAGGGTTTGGTTGTGGGTGGCCATCCGAACTCCAATTCAAGTGTAAAGTCTAACCATTCCTTAGTCGATAGGTTGAGAGGGTCACATTAGTGGCTTGTATTGTATCCCATTCCTCAACCTAGAGGCTAAGAGGATAGCTTTGGGTGCTTGTTAGACTTCTCTGCGGTTTATGACCCCCTAACCAAACACGGTAGTTCGATTCTTCAAGTAGTAATTGTTAGCTAGGGGGAGCAACACCCGGGTGAAGCTTTCTCAATAAGAATCAAATCCATTTTACCGTTGCAAAGAAATTTAGTTTTACACCTGTGTTTTCACCAAAACTAATTTGTTGGATAATGTTTCAAACCGTCGAAGTAGTGTTACGTGGACAGGCCCGGGTCAATATTTAAACATACTTACCCTATATTGCACCCATCTAAGGTTTACACTTGGACCTTAGATGGGATTTTATTGTGATAGTCAGGGTTGGGTCACTCGTATTTCATTCACTGTGGTTCTCATGATGTTCATATTTGGGAATACCGTGATATATTGTGTTATTAAGATTATCGAAGTAAGCTTCTTTTCTGAGGTGTTTTTATAATCATTTATGGTGTTAGATTGGTCGGTTTCCACCGTCTTCGCCCAACGATTATCATCATGGTAATGTTCTCAACCTTCATCTTTCTACATCTCATCATGTCTAGCTAATCTTCTAGTTTTTTCGGATTTGATGAACCCTAATATGTTTTACATCGATTGAGTGGTATCTTTGATATAGACGTGTTGTTCTCATTCTTACAATCTTCTCTCGACTTATCATGTGCAAGTATCAATAGTACGCGTTTATTGTATATTTTGTTTGATACAAGTAAATGAGACCGTGAGGTAATTTTACATGTTAGTTCTCTCGTGAAAAGAAGGAATTAATCGGAGCCACCGGCGATAGGGTCACGTAGTTCCTCTGGATTAGCTTAAAAACCTAATATAGAAATTCACAAGTCTGGTTAATGCTTTGGTTTAAAAGTCTTGGTAAGCCAAGGTTGCACTTGATTCTTAAGTCAAAAGGGTGTTAATACATGTGCAAACGGGTTAACACTAAATTGGGAATTTTCACGGTCTAAGATCAGAACACTCGTCTATGGTAATTCAACTCGTCTATAAAATGCATATTATGAGGATTTACTACCAGGACAACGCCTTCTCCACTTGATTTTAATTTAAAAACTATTATATTGTGTTTTTATCATTGCATGTGCTTTTATATCTAAAATATCACTAAAAATGATTGACTAAATAATAGTTAAAAGCCAAGTACTAGTACACATAGTCTCTATGGATACGGCTTTGCTTCCTACTATACTGTCCTAGAACAATAGGTACCCTTGCCTATTTTTCTTGTGTTAGTTACGAGCGATTACTTATCCCCAAGCAAACCAAGTAGACACGAGATTTTTCAAAGACATTCATTTGAAAACAACTCGTGCAACATATAGGGACAAAAAAAAACAGAGAATCATAGATGACCATCAACATTGCTTTGCGAAGTAACATGAGAAAGATACTAACAACTACCACAATCGATATTCAAATGTAGAAGGTTCATGAAAATGGTCCTTACCATACTTATAAAACATCCCATGAAAATGAATGGTTGCCCAATAGCCCCAAATCCTCCAAACAAAAAGAGGACCTAACACAACATCATAAGTCTAAGACATGGGGAATAATGTCTTTAAGGTGGTGGAAACATTCATTGCTCAAGGTTCCTTATATGCTAAACCGATCTCATATACTAACATAACTTTCTTTGCGCGCTTTTTAGCTTTGAGACTAATTTTCCACTAGAGAAATGGAGGAAAAACTTTCAAACAGTCGGAGTTTACCTAGCCATTGGACACAAAATGAGTCATTTTGAAGTTCGTAAAACCTGTGGTGGCTCTCTTTATTCCTTTTTTATATTTTCTATTTCTTTTCCATTTTGAGAGCATAACGTGACAATATTTTTCAGAAATTTAGGAATATCACTCTTCTTTTTGGAAACTTCACCGCAAAACTCGCTTATAATGTATGCAGAATACCATGGTAAAAGCAAACTCATGGTACCTTGAAGAACGGCTCAAACCAATATGGGTTTGAAAGAATAAGGATTAGTTGTAAATAACGCGGTATTAATAAAGAAACATGTTACGGCTAAACTATGCCTCTATCATCCTATTTTAGTGGTGTCACTACTGGGTCTCATGCAAAGGTTAAGCTAAATCATAGTGAAAAGAGGGAACTATCGTGCATGAAAGGAATGAACAAACAAAAATCCCATACAAGTTTCAGCCTCTCATGCAGATTTCTCAAACTCTATGCCTAGACAATTGGGAATAGTGATTAAACAAACTAGTTCTCATGCAATTTTCCATCAAATAAGGAATGACACTAGAAACAATCCTACTACATTCTCAGTCATCATCATAGGTTGTCATTGATTCTAATCACACTACTCATGCATCAACGTCGACAGGCCATGAAATTCAAAAGAAAAGTTCAAAAGTGCCACTATATGATCATGCAAAAGGAGAAAATTGTGCTTGGAGCATCAGATTTTTTAAAATTTGGACAGTTAGCTAGGATCCAATAACGTGCTATCATCCCAACCATTCACAATCATACACCCCCTCCCTTACAATTAAGCACGGCATTGTCCTCAATGGAGACAAGCGGGAGAAGGTGGAATGAAGTTAGCAGATTTGTGACAAATGTTGGAAGGAGCAAAAGAACATACCATGGAGAGGAGAGTAGCTTGGGTATCAAACACAAAATAATCTCACAAGGGGTTCGGTTATTGACTATAAACTCACAAAGACATAAACTACGACTACAAAAAGGGGGAAACGAAAGAAAATACAAATTGAGTTGTTAGTCGTTGCCACCCAAAAAGTGCTTGTTTTATGTCTTATCTAGATGGATTCTTATAAGTTTTGTTCCATAAAAAAAACTCTTTGAAATTGAGGTTCTCTTCAGTGATGTTAAATCTCAAGTCCCGAGCATTTGGTGTTGCACTTGATGAGGGCTCGTATACTTGATTAAGTTTGAGGATCCACATTTGAGAACTCTTTTTTCCTTATTCTTTCCTTTGTTATACAAACTAATAACACAAACTATACAAATTTGATAAAAGTTGTTCGATCGTATATTTAATTATAGTTCTATGATTCGTAGTATTATTTCCTATTTGATCCCTTTCAATTCCATATCATTTGACATTATTTTCAAAGCACACCAGTTGTACAAAATACAACTCTCTCGCCTACCAAAGTTTCTCCGACAGTAGGATGAAGTCTTGTGCCTAGTGCCTGCCTGCTGGCCCTATTATTTATTTCTTATAATTTGATTTTTAATAAATGGTGAAATAAAATTAAAACCCATTATTAATTCCGATGAGTTCCCACCATTAAATTAGAAAATATCACCAATCATTGGAGAAGCGAGAGTGTCACAGTATCGCATGATTCACTGGCGTCAGCCACTGGCCGGATGGGCTTGCTTAAACACTGATGGGTTTGTAACCCATGCTCCACCAAGCACGACGGTGGGAGGTATTGTTCGAGGAGATGATGGGCGCTTTCTTAGAGCGTATACAGTGAACCTTGCGGGAGGATTTATCACCCATGCAGAATTAGCAACCATAATGCACGGTCTTAAGATCACTTGGGATCTCGGTATTAGGAAGGTCGTTATTCAAACTGACTCGCGGACAGCGATCAGTCTCATCCATTCAGCATCACCATCACCATCAAATCCGCATGCAGTCCTCATTGCAGAAATCAATTGACTTCTGGCCCTGCAGTGGCAGGTCCGCCTTGAGCATACTTATTGGGAAGGAAACTTTGTCGCCAACTTTCTTGCGTCTTTGGGTCACTCTCTAACTGTTGGGGAACATGTGTTTACGTCCCCTTTTCCTTTGCTAAACTTTTGGTTGTACTATGATCTTATTGGGGTCTCGACCCCTCGAGTGGTTTAGTCTTACAGGTTGGAGCGTCCTTTAGCGCTCCGATTCCAACCAAAAAAAAATCATCAATGATTGAGATTGACTTATTCAAATGACTAAATACCCTGTAATCACATTATCTCATCTCGATCGTTTCCAGCTCCCAACTAGATTTGCATCGTGGTCGTTTATTTAAAAGTTGATTGATGATCATTAGACATAAATAAAACTTCTAGAAAAGTAAACAAAATAAAATAAAAGGGAAACAAACCAAGATAGGTAAAGGATTCACGCACAGAAGATATAGAAAGAAGAAACCCTCATGAAACGTGAATGAAAGTGTGATCGATCATTTGATGATGACAAGTAATAACGTGATTGTCATCCACCATTAGTAAACACAAAAGGATGTCGTCAAAATATAATTACAATTTGAAAATGAAGAAGACGATCAGATGGAAACAAATGAATTAATGATTCCCAAACAATTAATCACCCACCCATCATTAATTGTGATCACAACAAATCGTAATTAATACCCGCGACGCGAGGGATCACTAGTTTTTAAATTAACGCTCTTCAAAAGTAAAGCAAAGCCATCTCTTGCTTGATTTACCGTGAGCCTTATTGTCATCGTTGCGCCTTTTATCAGCAGCAGCGGCGGCCGATCCTCCCCCTCCTCCTCCACCGGAAGTACCGTTCTTCTTTTCATCCCTGGCCTTGGTGAATATCACTGTGAAACCTTCTGCCGTTGTCGGATCATTCACATCCCACTCCCCAAATTTTGGAAGAGCTCTACCCTTCTCCTCCGACGTTGCCATGACGATTTCTGTTTTGTTTTTTTCTTACCACCACCGGGCGGTGGTATAGGAATAGGATGCTCTCGATCTTCGATCTAGGTCAATCGGGGGAGGAGGAGAAAGAGAAGAAGAGGACACGCCAAAATGACTCCTTCAACAATAAATACAAGATCAACTCCTCCTTTTTTCCGTCTCTCTCTTTCTTTTGTTTAATTAAGAATAGTGGGCGGTTGGCATGGGTTTGTGGGAAGGGTAGATATACGTGGAAGAGACGATCACATTCTGTGGGACATGGAGACGGAGATTTTTCCGCGCTTTTATTGTGGTAGCTAACACACTAACTGAAATACGATCGACTATTAGCAAAATTTCTATTAGTTCGTTCTGCACCACTTTTTTAAAATATACATTATAACAAAAAGTTAATAAACATAATTGCTATTTGTCCACTACATTTAGAGGGATATTTGTCCCTAATGAAAATTTTAATAATTTGGTTCTTCCTTTTTTTTTTTGTTCATTTATGCAAGCTATAAGAGGGAACATATCAATTGATAACCTTATAAGTATAAGCTTATGCATAACTACATATGCTACCCATTAATTTTAAATCAATCTCAACCGTAAGATTTTGTCTAATAATTTACTCTCTTATTAATTTTAGTGGACAATATCTCATTTTTTAAACTTGGATTTGAATTTTTTTACATAAGTAAAACATTAATAGTTCTTTATAAAATGATATTCATTTCGATATATTTTGAAAAAAGAAAAAATCTTGCTCGTATCATGTCTTACTATGCACCTATAATCCTTACAATAGTGCACCATGACCCCTAAGACCCCATCATAGTGCACTTCACATGACCATTTGACCCCTACACAGAGCACTAGACCTATTGTAATATAATCATTAACCAAGAGCTTGATCTCGTCAAACTTATGCTAATCATCAATTATGAACAAACAAGAATAATAAATCACAAGCATAACCTAAAAAAACATAGTACATATCTCATGTAAGAACCACTCCCTAAACAACAGGGATGTTTAGTTCGATATATAGAAGGAGAACATCAATGACAAATGTATATCTCTCACGAACAAATAAAATGTTTGAACTATGGTATGAATGATAGTGGTTACCCCAAATGCTGAGATACTCCGACCACATAAATAACGGTGCCTTTAAAATTGAACCCAGACCCCTTATTTATAGTTTCCTCGCTATTTTTTTAGCTCTACGGCGAGTCCAAATTAGTATATCATATTCCAAATCAGTATATGACACTACTCTCTTGAGTGCAATTCATGTTGGAAGGTTTTGGAGGAGCAGCAGCCTAGACTGCCATTTTGCTCCTTTTGCTGATTGGACTAAAACTTGGCCCACATGGTTCTCCTAGTCTCGTTAGGCTTCAAGAGAAATTTTAGGACAATTGTTAGGTTTTTGGTTTATATAGGCTTATGTTTTTGCGCCATTCTTGTCCAACATCAATCTATACTATATGGAGAAATTTTACAATGCTATGTAGTATTGGTGCTATAGGATTTTGCCTTTATGGTACAATTTAAAATTGTACATTTACGTTATGGTACAACTTCAAATTGTACCTATACTTTTTGTACAAATTCTTATATGGTACAACTTGAACTTGTACTTTTATGTGATGGTACAACTTCAAGTTGTAAAGTTGTACCATAACATAATGGTACAAATTGCTTTATGGTACAACCTAAACTTATACATTTAATGTTATGGTACAACTTTAAGTTGTACATTAAAGCACCAATACTATATAGCATAGTAGAAGTGCTCATACTATAGGTGTGTCGATATCGAAAAAGTACAAAACAGCTACTCAAAAGGGTATAAAAAGTACAAAAATACACCATACTCTATTATTTCACTTTGCACAAATAGTTAACATTTCCATCATAAAAGCCTCTAGAAATGGGGTATGTTATTTGCCGCCAACCAAATTGCTTTTTGCAGCCAACCAAAAAAAAAAGTGTATATGTGCATCTTTGGTTAAAGAGTTTTACAATCTACAACATATCCAACTTTCAGAGTACGTATTGAATCAGAAAAAATCGACGCTCGCCGAAAAAGTTGCCGGAAAATCATCGGGAAAGCCCATCCTCGACGTGAACTGCGGACACGCATCCATGAATCATCACTAAGCAGGTGCGTCAATTTTTTGTAGTTTCGAACAATTTTTCCGACGGTTTGCAACGAACAGACAATGAGTCGAAAATTTCCGGCGGCCGGAACCTGGCCGGGCCGAAAATTTCTAGCGGCCGGAACCAGGCAGGGCCGACGGAAATCGGTGGTCGGATCCAGGCTGAGCCACAAAATTTTTGGCTCAGCCTGGCTCCGACCACCGATTTCCGTCGGTCCTGCCTGGTTCCGGCCGCCGGAAATTTTCGGCCAGGCCATGTTCCAGCCGCCAAAAATTTTCGGCCCGACCAGATTCCGGGCGCCGAAAATTTTTGGCCCACCGTCTATGTTTGGAATTTTTCGGAAGAATTCGATTTTAGGAGTTGAATTTAGAGTTTAGGAGTTGAATTTAGTGTTTAAGAGTTGAATTTAGCGTGTAAGAACTGAATTTAGAGTTTAGGAGTTGAATTAAGCGGTTAAGACTTGAAATTAGCGTTTAGGTTCACAGGAATATTGATGTGTTATATTGTAATTGTAGGGAAAATGTCAGAGTGGTTACAGGCCGATCATGATTACACACAGGAATTTGAGAATGGGATCCATTATGCAAGTGTGAAGTTAGCTGAGTTAGCTGTAAAAGCAATCGCTCAGGAGTGTGGGTTCTTTATTGTTAGAGGAGCATGGAAACCGAATACTGCTGGACTACATCCTGTTACTGCCTTCTGTATGTATTGCGACAGAAGCAGTAGGATCGTTAAGTCTTATAAACCAGACCCTATGAAGGAGAAGCCTGGGAATATTAGTTCGAAGGGTACTGGTTGCCAGTTTCATATATGTATTAAGGAAGTATGGCAAGACAATGGTCCAAACACATGGGTCATAGTGGGAGTGACAAGTCGTGTAACCGGATCTAATAGAGGGTTTCACAACCACGAAAAGGTGTTGTATCCAGAACATCACCTATCTAAACACAAATAGTACAAATCATAAATGATCCAAACATCAAAACAACTAAAAATCCCCTGGAGGGGGGAGTCCCTAAGAGACCCAGTACTCAGTCCACACATCCTGCACTCCGTGTAGTGCCATGTAGGCTCATCGAGAATGCTCAAGAAACTCCTCCTTGGTCCTTGCTGCAGCTCGAATCGCAGGTGCAAACGTGTACAAAAGGTCACGAGCACGCTGCATACAAAAACAAGAACAATTGTTAGTTTCACGCTAAGTATATTTATAATAGAGTAACGATCTAGTGGTCAAATCTTACTGCTGCGGAGTCAACTAGTCGATCTGCATCTCCATCATCCCGTAGGACTCTACAATGAGAGTGCGCCATGAACCAGTTAAGATAGTCGATCGTAGTCTAATATGGATATGTCGTCCACGGCTGAGAGTACATGTCTATATGAACCATGTGGGATAACATAGCATCCCATGCAACATCAAAACTCTCAAGAATCCGAATGACATATCCACCAGGTGCCTCTGGTCGGTCTGCTCACTGAGGACGCGAAGGGGGAGGCGGTACCATCTGTCGGTATCCAAACTGTTGGAGGAAACAGGCTGGATCATAAAACTCACCTATATCAGCGAACCGGATGACTCCAGTGTACAAAGAGCGACGCACTGCCTGATGAGGCCTCTGATGGAAAGGTGTCCAAAAAACATCAGAAGGGGTCCACAAACCCACCTCCGGATGGTCAAGCTGCGCAGAAGTCCTACTCATTACTCGTCCCTCAACAGGAATCTGCAGTAAGTACTGAACATCGTGGAGGAGGATCGTCATCTCTCCAAAAGGCAAGTGGAAGGTGTTCGTGTCTAGCTGCCACCTCTCCACAAAAGCTGAGATCAAAGCCTCGTCAATCGCTATCTTGCGGAACATAGAGTAGATAAGGTGCTGGAGACCTGACTGCTGAACCAGATCCTCCGCCTCAACATGACTAAACACGTAGCTACCCATATAATCAACCATCGATGTACGGTTGTAGCAACTCATGATCCCTCGATCTCCAACCCCCGTCCAAAGCGCATAGGAAGCGTGGCCACGGAAGCTCCTAATGAGGCTAGGATCCGTAGGTCCACTAGGACACTCACCAACAAGCTCCCACGGTGGAGGACCACTCGAACGTCCTCCCCTACTCCTTCTAGTCCCCGAGCTCTCTGTCTCCTCACGAGCAGGTGGTACAAACCGCCCAGCTCGGTCCCTATACATAGTAGGACGTGATGTTGCCGTACAAGACGACACTCGTCCATGTCCACGCGTAGGTGGAGGGACCTCGATATCCTCATCAGTATCGTCCTCATCAAACTCATTCGAGACCACTTGACTCACTTCTACTGTCACTCTAGGAATTGGCCAAGTGAAACCACTTCCTAAAGCGTAGTATAGCAGGTTTGGGTTTTAATGTCAACCCGGGTCCTAGATTTGATGACTACTCGGTGAATTCTTGTTATCTAGCAATGAAACTTTAATGCAAGTCTAAACTAATAAACTAACAAAGCAAGTAAACGGTTGTATTCAGGTTAAGAGAGGTCACCTGGATATGGTTCCCCCTAGACTGCAGTTAAGCCGGATTGCAATTACCAAGTTCAGTTTCTATGATAGTTATAATGCGGAAGGTTCTTAAACAGCCTGAAGTCTCGACTAAAGGTCTTCAGACCCTCTCAATTTGAGTCTCTAGCGGGCGACTAACCTCCACCAGAGTAAACAGATTGAGGCCCTAACAACAAAACCTCCACTACCGAGGTGAATTCGGTACAGAATAGTGAGTTGGCTCCTCGACTAAAGTCACCAACTCCCTACCTTCAATCAAGGATGCTCTATCAACCTAGGCAGATATTCTCATTCTAGGTTAAAGAAGAAACAACAGGAATTTGATCAGGATTCATGCCATTCAATCATTCAAACCTCAATTGAATATAATCAAATCATAGAATCAGTACTTGGGTTCATACAATCAAACCTAACATACAAATCTAGGGTTCTCCATACCCAGATGAATGGGAGAACTACTCCATGGAGAAAGAAGCAAAAGCAGACTCAGACGCGGAATTCATACTGTGAAGGATGGATTCCTGCTCCGGGACGTTGATCGGCACTT